TGCATTAGTTTTCTGTGAGAGCTCAGTTGTCTTGAAGTTTATCAAGTCTTGTCAGTTTTTATTTACTTATTATTTTTTTACAAGATGTCCACGTGCATTAAATGCCCCAGCAAAATCTGGGAGTAACATTCACATCTTCATTAAGTAGCTATTTGAATGTGATGGAATGTCAGGACTTAAAAGCTTGTTCATGGTAGAAACAGCTACATCTCCTTTTTTTGACTTTGAACCTTCCCTTCTTTTCCTACAGGAGCATGTATCAACATTTTTATTCATAAGTGTTTAGAATAGGTTTCCACATCCACATTTAGGCATTAAATCCATGATTTTCTTAGGGAAGTAACCTCAGCTCACTTTCAAGTAAAAATACAGGTTTCAAGACTTGTTTGTTATTACCCTTTTATATAAACATGTTAGAACACACTCAAGTGAAGAAACTTGGCAAAATCATAGTGCCATGACAGACATCATCAACTTGGCTGAGGCGTAATAGTAATCTGTATCTAAATGAAGTCTTTTTTCTTTTTCTTTTTTTTTTTTAAATACAGACTTGGAACATTTTGAAAGGTAACTATGTATAGCAGTCATTATCATCCTGGAGAAAGCGTAGTTCTGCGTGCAGGCCTGTTCTAACTGTGCGATAGAACAGCCTTTACAGATGTGCTCATCTTGTGAAACCTCAAATCGGGAAATAGGCTGCTAATCTCTTCACTCCTTCAGTCTGTGGCATGCTGGAAAATTAACATGCCTCATGCTAGAGATTAAAAGTACCGGTAGCCTCTGTTCTTCACCCTCTGAAAGTACCCTTGAACTGATGCAGTGGGGACCTTTCAGTGGAAAGGGATCGAGTAAAGTACAAAAGAGAGGAGGGAAAGCAATGAATTTGAAAGGAAAGTGGCATGGCAATTGCTTTAAAATGGAATCCAGTGGCAGAATAAAACGGCCTTGAATGTTTAAATCAGTCACCTTTTGTAACTTGCTGATTTATCTAGCAGATGGCAGCTGTGGTGGTGTGGTCCATGCTGAATGTTAAAATGCATTGATTTGGTACTGTAAATGATGCTTTAATAATTTGAGGATGAGTTAGAAATGGACTAAGAACTCAGAGGTAGAAATTCTAACCTTTTCTAGTATCTTGGGTATCTAGTATTTTTCATCATGCTGGCATGTATGTGCTAGGAACTAAACACTAGCTTTAGAGTTTTTTTGATAGGAGATTATCTGCCTTCAGAAGTTTATAGCATGGCTGGTAAATGGGGAAAAAACAACTAAAAGAAATTTCCATAAGCCTGGTGAGCCAATAAAAATGATGCATAGCAGCTTCCAGCCCAAAAGTTCAACAGAATTAAATGGCTCCCAATGCAAGGTTGAGGCTCTATTATCTCGTGCTGCTACTAAAGGGGCTGTAAGGAAGTATTGTTTAATCATGGAACTGCCGTGATGGATGCCTAGCAGTGTGACGTCTGGAGGTCTAGGAATAATTCAGACTTTCTCCTTCCCACTTCATAGTACAAGTTCAACTCAATAGCAAGTGTTGGGCGGATTAATTATCCAGAGTGCCTAGACTTTTGAAATGAATGTGATTGGTTACAATACAGGGTTATAACTCAAATGCCATGAAATTATTCAAGGAGATGGTCCCAAACTGATGTTTTCCAAGAGAAGAATGTCTTGCTTTGTGTTACTAAATGAACATCATGAACTCATGAGAAATCATATTCAGAGATACGTTGAAGGTCTTTCTTTGTTTGAACTTGGCTTGGGGAGACCTTGTAGCCCCTAGTGGGGGGGAGGGGGGGGGAAGAATTTTTGAAGATTTGACTTATTTTGATATGCAGGAAATTGACTTATTTTGATATGTATAGCATACAAGTAGAGGGAAAAAAAACACTCAACTAATGAGAAATTGCACTTCTGTGAAGCTTTTTGAGGTGAGGCTTTTTCTGTTGTTCTGTTTGAAGGCCCTAAACTCCTACTGCTCTTCAGGCTATGAAAGAATGTCATTCCTGCAGTGAACAGAGGTACTGCTGAAGCTGCTGGTAGGCCAAAGGTTGGGGAAAGAATTCATCCTTCTTGTGCAGATCTTTGGGCATTGAAGGGTTTGCAAACCAGTGCAGCAAGTGTTGAACTTGGGAGCTGTGTTGCACATTTCAATGATATTATGATATTTAGAAAAGATACTGCCTAGTGAGAGCATGAGATGAGCACTATGTTGGAGAAATTGGCCAGGGAAAGCAAAGCAGCCTTTTTGTCTTGTTTGAAGGGAAGAGGTGGTAGTGGTTAGTGCCAGTTGTACCTACACTGATGAGGGAAGAGGAACTTAACAAATCTTCTGCCCCCCTTAGGAAGAAGACTATATAAGATGGATTGCTAAAACGCAGATCATCCTTGCTTGAAGTATGAGTACTTGATGGGCTTTGAATATATTCTGCTTAAGTATCTAACTTATACTATTTCACACTAAAGAGGTAATAAAATAATAATAAATAAAAATAAGGAATAAAACATATACCTTTTTCCTATGTTAGGCCTGTGACATATCTAAATATAGAGATCAGAGAAGAAGTTCTGCAGTTTATAAGGCCTCATCAAACTTCCCACCAGAAAAAAAAAATGGTATTTTTAGTGCTGTCCAACACTGAATGCCATGTGGAGCAAGGAACATATTATTGACAAAAGCCTTTCATGAGTGATTAAGTGAGACTATATTTAGCTTTCTGTCAATCAAATTAGGATCCATATACTTTCTAGAGCAGATGCAATAGCAAAAGATGTAATGTAACATTTGCTATGGGCGTATCTGAGGCACAGAAAAAGGTTATTAACCACCTGTATCCTGTGTAAAAGCAGCAAACCATTTAGAGATACAGGTTTGCAAACATTGATTTATTAATGAATAAAATTGCAGGACCTACAAAGATAATGCTGCACGAACCTTTGTTGCACCTTGAAGACATAAAAAACATCATCCAACATGGTAAAGGACAAGCGAGTACGAGTGTACAGGCTCTTTCTGCAGATTTGAATCACAGTCATTGTTCCAGTTTCCTACCTGACATCAACAGTGTTGCAGGTGGTGGCAGGAATTGAGGTTTCCTGGCTTTGGCAGCCCTCGCTTCCTAGTCTTAGAGGTCATCTCTGTTGCGTTCTGTCTGTTTCACACGGTCATTTTGCATCAGTGAGCCATGAACAAGTTGAGGTTACTGAATCTGAGTTTCTACTTGCCCAGCAGTCTCCCAACAAAACACAAGATTTAGCCCAATAAAGTTTGTTCTCTGTGTTCAGACTGTCTGTTGGTAAGGTATGTTATATGAATATAATTATTCAGGCTCCTGAGTTTTCCAGTGTCTGTTTGGTAGAATCATGCCATGACTGATACTGAGACACGTTAGTGGGAGGATTGTTTATGAGAAAAAGGGAAACAAATTTGACATTTGGATTTGCTAGGAAACTTGCTGCTGTGGCACAGATCCTCCTTGCTGCTGAATAATCATAACTGGTGTTGGAGAAATCGGTCAGGGAAAGCAAAGCAGCCTGAAGCTTTTTTTTACTTTCTGGGAGAGGAAAACATGGCAAAATATTTTTATACCTGAACAGAGGCTCAGGTATACTCTGCTCCACTCCTTCCATAGGATTAATACCTTTTTCTTTGTACTAGGGCTTTAATGAGACCTGTGTGTAACAGGCTGCTCTCCCATGTTCCTGTCTGCTGCATGGGTTCCCTCAGGGACTTGCAGCTTCTCTGGGGCTGGTGGCAGTGACAGCAGCAGCCGGCAGGGCTGCGACTGTTTGTCTCCCTGTAATGCCCCTTTGCATTTCCATGCAGTAGTTCTTGCTCCTATTCCGTGACAACACACTGCATTTTTTGCATTTTTGTACTTTTGTGAGGAGAAGAGTGGAGCGATAGAAAAGACTCTATGAGCATGCCAGTACTGGTGTAAATAGTGGATATGGGAAAACTCCTACAAGTAATTAAAACATATAAAATAAATAAATATTTACATTATATAAAAATATAATAATTATATATTCCTCTGCTATGGAGGCAGAATATCCTATGAAAAAAAAGAGGAAAGAAAAGGTGGTTTGGGCTGAATTGAACCGTGCAGTTAAGAGATAAAATAAATTCTGAGGAAAAAAGAAAAAAAGACAAGAACACTTGGAACAGAAAAGGATATCACTGAGAAGACTGAAGGAATATAGGATAAAAAGGATAGAAACTATAAAAGAACAGTCAGATTTAACTATTTCTTGAATAATGAGGAGAAAGTGATAGAGAACATGTAACAAAGAAGCAACTATCAAGTAGCTGTGGGGAGAGAGAATGAGGAGCCAGGAAAATGGGAAATGCAGAGGAAGAGTCAAGAAATATGGGCTAATACAAGAAAGCAAATGGAAAATACATTTTCAAGAACCAGAGGAAGACAGTAATGAAAAAAGTGGACTCCCTACCCTTCAAAAAGCAAAAGGGAAAGTAAATAATGACAAAGATGAAGGAAGATACAAACACTTTCAGAGCAGATGGAAAGAACAGTTTATTCAATGAAATGGAAATGAAAAAAAGGCGTAAAGTTAAACAATAAATTTATGTTGATGGGAAAATGTGATAAAGTCATTTCTCTGATTTTTTTTCTCTGGGGCTCCAAAATGTGGAACAGCTACAGCTCTACCTTTATCTAAATGGTACTCCTGGGTCTTATTAGTAGTGAAGACACTGGAAGAAAACCATGCTGTGTTTTAGTTGCATTTATGCTGTGTACATGTGAAATTAAATGGCAAATATTTGCTATCAGTGCTGTGTCTGGACATTGTTTAAGTCACTGAAAAGAGCAGAAATAATATAAAAGCATATCAGCAATGTCCAGCAAGTACCTCATTGATTTAAGCACCACATTATCACATGTATTCATACTTTCTAACATACTTGGAGGAGGATGAGCAGTTCTGGTTTGGTGAAGAGGCTGACTGTTTAATGTGTGTGTTTTTCTCATTCCTTTTAGGGATCTCTTGCTGTCTGTGGCTCTTGGCCAAGTACTGTCTCTCCTTATCTGTGGCATTGGCCTGACGAGCAAGTATTTGTCAGAAGATTTCCATGCCAACACACCTGTTTTTCAGAGCTTCCTCAATTATATCCTCCTATTCTTGGTCTACACAACAACACTAGCTGTCAGGCAAGGTAAGTGACTTTCTCTGAAACACTAAAGTCTTGTAGAGAAAACAGTCAGTTAGAATAAGGCTTTTCTGGAACAGCAACAATTGAATTTTGCTTGACTCTGATTTGTATACATATCCTAATAACATAGCATATTTATGTTAACAAATAATACATACTGGATGAACTGAAAAAAAAAGTAAATCTTCACAAGCAAGGAATAAATTGGTAGATAGCAAGGATGGTGATACTCTGTAATAACAAAAAGATGCATCAATACTATTCATTTCCTAGCAATTCCTTTGCATCATTTTTTAATACTTGCCTCTGTTTCCACATACACACAGCCAGGGCTAGTCTTAGATTTGTCAACATGTTCTGCTGGGAAATATAGGTATGCCTTATATCTTAACAAGCTAAAGACAATTTAGACGCAAGCAAAGAAGAGTTAACTAGTTCTAGTTGCTGTTCAAGGCAGTCACCTATTATTAGAAAGGGAAAAAAAACAGAGAGAAAAAAGAATCCCTATGAGACGTAGGGAAGGATTCTGGATTCTGCAGTCTCCCCAAGACACTGCATGGGCAGAGCAGCTTTTTTTCATATTTCCATAACCATTTTATTTATTCACCTTTACTGAACATATGAACAAGAAGCAAAATAAGAGCAAAAATACCATGCCTTTTTCTGCTAATTCTCTTCTAATATAAAGAAGAGAGAGCATCCATGAAATGAAGCCCTTATGGAAATGTATTTTTTAGACCATGGTACATTCATCAACATGCTGAGGGTTTCATGCTTTTATATAAGCTCAAATATTTTGAGGTCTTCCTGACATTATATCTTCTCATGATTTGGAAACAATCATGAAGCTTATTTTCTTCACTCTTAGTGAAGTGTACTTAAGTACACTTAAAATAACAAGTACTTAATTTTGATTAGAAAATAAGCATTTAAAAATATGCTGCTCCACTCCAGCACAAAGTACTTTGATGTATTTCATCTTAAGTTTATAAAACTTGCTCTCCATTGATGTTTTTCTGAATTGATGAAGGCCAATTTGCTGAGGAAATGTCAACTCTTATATGGAAAGATTGCTCAGGCTGTATTTCCCTGTCTTGATGTTTCAGTTTGTGTAGGGGAAGGAATAACCAAATGCTTTCTCTAGAAAGGGTTTAAAACATGGATTAGTAGCATCTTTCTGGAGAACCATGTTTAAAAATAATTATTCTGAATGTAGGATTGTCGAGCTGTTTACAAGTTCTATCACACAAATGTCCTTTTCAAAACTGACTTAGCTATTTTGGCAGCTAAATCCCTGTGACTTTTAAATACACTTATTTTTTTGAAAATGCGAACTGCTGAGGTCTGTAGCACTGATGTGCATTGCAGGGAACTGCCCAGAATACTGTTTTGGCACCAAATATATAATCATTTTCCAAAAGCACTATTAAACTTTTTACCAAGCCCTTTGTTTTACACATATAATAAATATTTACTCTGATTATACGATATTCTTATAAATAATTTCTCGCTCTGTTTAAATGTGGTAGAGGACTAAAGAGACTTTATGTGAGCTATCTGTTGTTCCAGCAAAGCAGGCCTGTGAAGCAAACTGGAAAGCCCCAGGGAAACGTGGAAAAACATTTTCAGGGCATGCAGGGAAATGGTTGGGGAAGGTGTTTAAACAGTCCTGCAGAGCATATGAGCAAGCAGAGCAAAACAAAAAAGATACTAGTGGAATAATCTGGAAAAGGAGCTGTCTAAAAGAGATAGATAGTTTTTGGCATAGGGCCCAAGACAATCCGGAACAGGCGCTCACCATAACGTTGCTGCTGAATGATACGGCAATTCACAGCCAATTCATTTACTCGACTTCTAGTATTGCCAAGTGATTGAGCTTGACATTGTCTCCTAGCTTGTGTATTTATTTAAATTCATTATCTGTGTTTGTTCCACTAAGACTGTTTTTCTGGCAGCTCTAATCATTTGGCTTCGTTAACAGATGGAAACCGCATAGTAATTATATTAATTTTATATGGGCTGATTCTGTTCTGAGCACTGGAAACATGGAAGCACTGGAAAAGAAGGGTTTTTTCAAGTGTGGTGCTTTTCCTCTGGATGCAAGCTTTCAGATTCTTTAAATTATCCTCTTTTTCTTCCAGAAATCAAGCCATCCTAAGTTTGGCTGGCAGTCAGAAATGACTGCATCCCTTTGTCTTTTTCTTTGCTTGCTTGCCTAATTTCTGAGGTTTTTTAGAATTGTAACAGCATAGGACAAGTCACTTCAAGTGGCCAAAAGAACTTAATTCATTGGAAGAGTGAAAACTGTAATCTTCTGGGACATGCATCGGGAGCTCTTCTTTCTTTAGAAGCTTCTTTACTGTGTCTCCTCTGACTTAGCCTTCTCTCCGTCTCTTCTTGCCCAGGATAATCTCTTTGGGTGATACTGAAAAAGTAGATTTTGCACTGAGAAAAATCTTCATGATTTTTTTTCCACCAAGAAAAATCATCATGAAAATCATCACGGGCTGATGATTTAAACCTCCTGATTACTGAGCTCCTCTGACAGAAGTCGCTAGCAATGAATGCCCAGTTTTTAGCAAGTGAAGCTAATCCATCGACAGCTTCCACTGCATTTTTCTGTTTAATTTTGGATCATGATTGCGTTTTCAAAATAGTTTTATCACAGCATTTAGTGGATGCAAAGAGTAGGACTAACATTTTGCAGCCCATCCTTATGGGATTGTGCAATGTAGGAGACAGAAGTTCTGCAGGAGCTGCAATCTCTGAGTACCTTTAAACTATATTCTTGGGGTAGGGGGAAAAAAAAAAGCCAGCATGTGCTGTAGGTAAAGATGGGGAAGTACTACAAACACAGTAAAAGTGAGCTCAACACTTGTAAGCCACGAAGTCCTTATGAATAAGACTTTTTTTAATCATTATTGCAATTTTGTTCTTATGACCAGAACTGATCAATGACGGAAATGTCTCAAGAATGAGTCTTACAAAATGGATACTATTCAGGTAGTTGTCTTGGAAAAGGGAAAGGATTTGGCCAAATGGAGATTTTCCTGAAGCAAAATCTAACTGCCTTTTCTCTTGGTTGAATTCTGACTGGTTATGTTAAATGGTGAGTCTATTAAGTAGGTAACTGTCTCTGTTATACTTGATATCTTTGTGTGCATTTTAATATTTTTATATGTATGTTGAAGTTCAGCATTTGTTTTCACAGAGAGGCTGAGAGCTATGCACACAGCTGTGCTGATGCACATAGCACAGATAACAGTATGCACTAACCAACCAATATGTACCTGCTGTAGCTTCCAGTCAAATGCTCATAAATGTGCCAGTTTTGAAGTGCTGAGGTCTGAGGAGAATTCCTTAGGGCCTTTTTATTCTTTTTTTCTTGTAGGAAAACAATGCTGTAAAAATTAATGTCATTAATGCAACATAAGACATGAATATCATTATAATATATATTATTAAGTTTCATCTAGCTGATTGGCAAAAATTTAATAGATAATAAGGAAATCTTCATTTCTTTCTTGAGGTGACTTCTTTTCACAGCTGTTATTTTCACAGACAAAACCTATTTTTGTGCTTGGCAACACCTCTGATTTGAGAAGAAGGCTTTAGCGTATATTATCACAGCTTTGTCCCCCATCAGCAGAGGATCCAGCTTAACAAAATCCTGTCACTTGCAGGTACTCCTTTGGGTTGTAGATTATTAATAAAAGAGAAAAAAAAAAAAAAAAAAAAGCAAAGTCTTAGTAGTCTTCCTGACAGGGAAATGGAACTAGGGGACACAGAGCTGGTGGAGATGAGTTTTAGCACGTTAAAAAGCAGCAAGTGGGAAATTGTCCACAGTGGAGCAGAAGGTGCTAATTACCAACAGTCAACCAGGGTGAAGGCATCAGCTATTTGCAACTAAAAATAAATTACTTCTAAAAGCCACCTCACATATGTTACAAATGAAAACAAGACATCTACCAGACATCATCAAAAAGAGGAAAAAAATGTGAAATTGCTCATTTTTGTTATTTTGGAAAAGAAGAAATGAGAGAATAGTAGGCATATATTTTGAACAGAAGGGGAACATAAATTCCTAAGGGGCCAAATTCTGACTGAATAGCTCTTCACACTTCAAGTTGTTCTTTTAATTTTAGTGCAACAAGTTACTGAATATTTTTACAGATCACAGAATGGTTGAGGTTGGAAGGGACCTCTTGAGATCATCTAGTCCAACCCCCTGCTCCAGTAGGGTCACCCAGAGCACAGGGCACAGGGCGGCATCCAGGTGGATTTGGAAGACCTCCAGAGAAGGAGACTCCACAACCTCTCTGGGCAGCCTGTTCCAGGGCTCTGTCACCCTCACAGGAAGTGAGATGTGAAGTTCTTCCTCACATGCAGATGGAACTTCCTGTGTTTTTATTTATACCTATCACCCCTTGTCCTGTCATTGGCCACCACTGAGAAGAGCTTGGCCCCTTCCTCCCTACATTCTCCCTTCAGGTACTTATACATATTGATCAGATCCCCTCTCAACCATCTCTTCTCCAGGCTAAACAGGCTCAGCTCACTCAGTCTTTTCTCATATGATAGATGCTGCAGTCTCTTAATCATCTTGGTTGCTCTCCGCTGGATCCTCCCTAGAAGTTCCACATCCTTCTGATCCCTGGGGTTATTCCTCCCTATGTGCAGTCCCCTGCACTTCTTGTTGTTCCTCTGCCCAACTCTCCAGCCTGTCCAGGTCCCTCTGGATGGCAGCACAGCCCTCCAGAGTGTCAGCCACTCAAACCAGCTTGGGATTGTGTGCAAACTTACTCCGTGCCCTCATCCAGGTCATTGATGAACAAATTGAACAGCACTGGACCCAGCACTGACTCCTGGGGGACACCTATGGCCACAGGCCTCCAACTGGACTCGGCCCCATTTATCACCACTCTGCCAGTTCTTGATCCACCTCACTGTGCGCTCATCGAGACCACTCTCCCAGAGCTTCCCCATAAGAATGTTACGGGAGA